AGATTTCTCAAAATCTAGCAAACCGAATCGATTCAAATTTTCACGAAATTTAATGGCAATGATACTCTGTGGATCGCCACCTATTTCGATTCGATCGGCCGAGCTGTTCAAAAGTTATAAGAGGTTTACACACACACACACACACACACACACACACACACACACACACACACACACACACACACACACACACACATACAGCTGCACGGACACCATCGCGAGAATAGTCAGGGAAGCTTCCTAGGACCTCAAAACGTCGAGATCTGATGAAAACTCGATTTTCGAAAAACGGGGTGAAAACAATAACTTCCCGATTTTTGAAAATTTTCAATTTTCTTAGCGGGAAGTCAAAAGTAGAGAAGATTATTATTAGCTGATAAAGAATAAATTATAAATTTTATTTCCAATTTAATTCCAAAGTTCGTTCAAATTTTGTCCGCGTATAGTATTTATTTTTGTTCGAATTCAACGTTCTTTTGCGGTTCAAGCAAATCATCAAAAGAAACAATAGAGAACTGTACTACCGGCGGTTAGCAGGCTACGTTGCAATTAAGTGTAGTATCAGCTGTCTTCAAGCTATATTTAGAAATAAATTATTTTATATGGCTGCTAAAAGACCGAAAATTTCGGGATCTGCCAACCGAAAAAAATTAATTATAACTAAACAAAACAATATTAAGCTTCCATTTACAATCTTTGGCTTCGCATGAGATAAATAAGGAGATTAAAAAATAGATTGAGCTGAAAAATTGATATTTTCAAAAGTTATCGCGTTTGCCCTTCCATAAGGATTTGATAAATCCACAGCAAACTATTAAAACCACTTTTTTATGTAAAAATAGCAGTTAATTAATTTAAAAAAATTTTAATAAGTTCAACAATTATTTTGCTTTCTGGAAATATGCTTTTTATAGCATTTTTATGTAAAATATCACATTAAAAATTTTTAACTTAATGATAAAGATAATTTTTATTATAAGCTGCTTGAAATAATATAGTTCAGTACAATCAGGAATTTTGTGACTCACAAAACAGACAGCGTTATCTTTTACAGTCTTCCAGTATCTTGAGCAATTTTTATAGGATGTATAGACATAAATATAGATGGATATTAAGTACCGGTATAAATTTAATAAGAATAATGATAATGATAAAAAATAATGGCATATAAAGAAAAGAGTCGAGTCGCAGCAAGATGGCGCTGGCTGAGTGGCTATTGAGATCGGTACGAGGAATATTGGAGGCAATGAGCCAAGTTACTTTTAACAAGGCATCTCAGTACTATCTTGCTCCAGTTGAATGATCCCCTTGGATTAAGAATATGACAACCAAAAGTCAAATATCCTATTCAAACTTATGACAATGATGCATTATTTACTTACTCGAAGGTTTTTACAGTATAAAAAGTTTGGAAACAAATAATTATATTGCATAAATTTTATTTTTTATCTTGCTTAGAAAAAAAGGACTGAAATAGAAAATTTACATACGGGAAGAAATCTAGTTTAAAATATATGATTCAATTTATAAGAAATTAATGCTTTGTTAAAATTATAGGACGTTAGAGTGCTTTTTTATCAATTATTAGTAAAATTAAAGTATAATAAAAAAATATTTTTAACGGAGTTTATCGAACACGTAAAATATAATTGTTATCAATAAAAAACATATTTTATTAACGATGTTTTCACAGTAGAATTTTTTTCGTGGAAAAAAAATATTTTTTTCTTTATTCTTAGCCTTGCTTTATTATTTCTGGATGTAAAAGCAATAAAACATTCGAGAAAAATAAAAGTTGCTTCAACTTAAACAAAAACTAAATAAGAAAAAAAAATAATCAAATAATTCAAAAAATGATTAATAAAAAATTTTAAAATATGTGTGGACTTTTTTTTGCGCAAATATGTTTAACATCTATATTGCAGACCTTGAGCGTGAGCGTAGGTACCCTTGTGTACCTACGTCAAAAGTCAAAATTTTCCTGCAATTTGGGACTTTTCCAAAGAATTATTAAGAGTTGACGACTTATTCAGTTTTACAGAAAAAGAGAATATTTCTTCAAAAAAAAATTTACTTATCATAATTGGAGAAAATTGAAAATTAAACTATAAAAAAGAATTAATGCACGTTTTGTAAAAATTTTTTTTAAAATAACATTTTCATCACGAAAATACTTCGATGCGCATCGAATCACTCATAGTTGACCAAGTCAGAACATCAACAACAAATGAAGTGCACTTGCTGTTGGAAACAGATATTTCTCAAAAAGTAAATCCAATCGGTATTTAATTTGGACTATCAAATATTTAAATCAACTTTCTAGGTAGGAAAGAATTTTCTAACCAAACGCCATCTATTAGAAACTAAAAATACTCAAAGATTCTAACTGTAAATTTGTGGACTAAAATATGTTTAGTATCAGTTAATTCTAGCAGAAGAAAATGAAAAACTTTATGAACTATTCGTATTATTCGTACTTAATAAAATTTTTTCACAGTTTTTCGTCCCGTGTTTCGTCTGGATAATTTGTATTTGACAGGCATCATATGCATATTAATGCTACAAAAAGTACACTGTCAGATAAAAAAATAATCACTGATCATTAATAAATTTTTTTTAGTAACTACACGCTGAGAAATTTCCAATGAATTTTACTATGGGCGCATAGTAACACTGAACTATAAGAAAACTGGAACAAAATTTACAAGTTCCCATAGTAAACAGTATGCGCAGAAACACGATTGTGTAGTCTGCGCATACCGTTTACTATGGGAACTTGTAAATTTTGTACCAGTTTTCTTATAGTTCAGTGTTACTATGCGCCCATAGTAAAATTCATTGGAAATTTCTCACCGTGTACATGTATAAAGGAGTAAGTGGGAAAAATTTATTTTTGATTCTACACAGAATTCACTCAATTTGATAAATATCCATTCAACTATTTCGTTGAAAATTAAAGTTTTTTAGAATAATTTATTGGTAGATTTATTAAATTTATCAAAAGAATTTTACTGTCAAAAATACATTATACTTTTTCTAAAGGATAAAAAATTATTAAATGAATAAAATTTTTAAATATCATAAATATAAAATTAAACAAAATTTAAATAAATTACGAAAAAAAAAAACTAGTGAAATCAAACTTTTTGCATGTATGCAAAGGTTTTACAGTCGAATAAATATAAGCTGCTAAGTTTCTTTATTGAAATAGTTTGTGTTGGATTTTTGATTGAATTAAAGTCACACAACATGAATGAATATGAAGAAAATTTGCACACGAGTTAACTCAGAAATTAAATTCTATTTCATTAACGAAATGTATTGTTTCACATAATATAGTTTCATGATTACTAATTAGAGAATTGCCTTTCTGTCTCTAACAATTCCTAAATATAGATGTTTCCGAAATTTCTGGCTAGTTATCATCATCTCATGTCACCCGTGACATTCATATTATAGCAGTTGCTTCAATAGATCGATTGGGAACTGTTGATTTACATCAACGCTTAATTCATCGTCCAATGTTCATTGAAACGCTGAAAAAATGTGACATATTGGTTCTTAACTCAATAATCACTTGAACTTGACTTTTCTATACTTTTAGATAAGGATCACTGTTTTGAGTGATTATAATAATCCGAAGAAATAGAAATTAATGAAATAAGAAGAAAGTTTTTAAAGACGCGGAACTTTGTCGAATTCCTCTTCAAGACGCGATGGTAAATAAAAGCAAACATACGTAACTAAGGAAATTCGATAAATTCAGCTAGACCAGAATTTTCGAGCTAAGCAGGACTTCTGAGATAATTGGCTGAATTGTCCATTTGGCTTGGGAAAAAACTGTGTCAGATAAAAAGATAGAAGAGAAAAAAAATTATTGGTTGTTCAGCTTGCTTGGAAACTAGGTACAAAAAAAAAAAAAAAAAAAAAAAAAAGAGTGTAAAAATGAATTTTTATTAAAGTTTAAAGTGTTATCCCCGACAATAATTTGCAAAAATGTACTCAACTAGCGCTTAAAAACCATTTTTTTATGTAATTATATAAAAATACACGGTGAGAAATTTCCAATGAATGTTACTATGCGCCCATAGTAAAATTCATTGGAAATTTCTCACCGTGTATTTTTATATAATTACATAAAAAAATGGTTTTTAAGCGCTAGTTGAGTACATTTTTGCAAATTATTGTCGGGGATAACACTTTAAACTTTAATAAAAATTCATTTTTACACTCTTTTTTTTTTTTTTTTTTAATTAATTCATTATTTATTTGCGAACACAAGGAATACAAAACAAAACTGTAGCTTGAAATCGTTCCGTCTAAGTACAATAAATTTTATTTGTTTATCTCAAGAGAGATTTTGTTATCTTTTAGCAGCCATTTATTTTTTTTCTAAATACAGCTTAAACTATCCATACTATAGCATAATACTGAATGTCGGTACGTAGTCTCGATATTTTTTTCTCCGATTCACGCGGAAAAGTTCAAATGAACTTGAGTTGAATTATACTTTTACTTCCCATCAATTTTTTTTTCTTTCTGTGATTAATATTTTATCTAATTTGAAAAATTTACAAATAACATGAGCACTTAAGGCATGCACATTTGGATTTTCCAAACTTTTTGTTTATTTCAACTGACGTCATATTATGTTGAAATCATAAAAATCTAAAAGCTTTAACAAGAACCTAGTCGGTAAAAATTTTTAAGTGAATTCCAGTCAATTATAGCACATGCCTGAGGCAAAGACGCCTGGGTTTGTTATATTTACGATTAATGAATCATCCATTAATACAATTAACCAAGACATTTACGTGGTACTAAATTCTTTATCTATGTGTGTCACTTCTAAGAATATGTATTGATGTCACAATGTTATTTCATCAAAGATTAATATAGGACTCTAATTTTACGAGCTATAGCATTAGACATATTTCGTTCAGGTATATAAAATTCTCGACAGTTATTAATTGTTTTATTAATTGGTCGAAAATTAAGGAGTAAGAATGTTCAGCAAGCGCTTCATTCTTTTACTGATAAATATTTGTCGTAAGTAAATTATTAGATGACTATGAACATATTTCACTGACTGGTGACTGTGTAGTAAATGAAAAAAAAATTTTTTCTTCACAGTCTGTTCGTCGGAGCTGACTATTTCACCCAGTAACGACATTAAGATAAATGAGGGCGAAAAACTGGAAATAAGCTGTACAGCTTCGGAAGCAGTCGATTTTATCTATCCAAAACATATCGAAGGCGTGGTAAGTTAGATTCTTTAATCTATTTAAAAGAACACAATAGAATATGGTACAGAGTGCCAAATCGCGTCATCAGTCTTTGTTATCTTGAATTGGGATAGAATTTATCTCAACTGAGTTTTAATGAAAGTCGATTAATCTACAAAGACTATTTTTTCCGTAGATTACCAGATCAACAGCAGAAACTTCTGACGAACGAGTGAATGGATTGGCTAAGTTCATATTAAAAAGGGCTAATCTAGTTTTTGGAGACAGTGGATGGTACGGATGTGTCGAAAAGAGCAAAAACCAACCTGAGCCTAGTTTTGGAAGCCTTGATGTAACGCCATACAACTATGATAAAACCGATGTAAAATGGATCTACGTCACTGTAAATTGTAAATTAAATAGATATTTAAATTTATATAATAAGGCCGTAAAGTATCGGTTTTCTGACAGCGACGATATTTCGATATGAGCTTAAGGTTTGTGGCAGGAAGGTTCGAAACGGGCGTAATTTTGACGTCCGAGGTGAAGCCGAGGCTGGAAATTTACGCTTATTTTCGAAGATTCGCGTCACAAACATTAAAGCGAATATCGAAAAAAAAGCCGTTGTCAAAATTGCTATTAAACGGCCAAATAACATACAATATTTTTTGTTATTATCGCTCCATAAGTTTAACTTTTGAATGATAGGAGACAAATAATGACATTTAAATTTTATGAAGTTTTACAAGGGCAAAAAAACTTAATTTTATATTAATTATTTTTTTATTAATATTTATTCACGGCGTGGTTATTATTTTTGTTAACATGAGGTCCGCTTCGTAATAAACTGCCAGCCTAGCAATACTTAGCGCCACTCAATAGTAACTAAGTTTAAAATTTACCCAAAATCACCGGTCGGTACCCTAGAATGTGACTTTTTTTTACAATCTCTTAATTCCGTCTGGGTGTATACGAAAAGTCTGTAAAAAACGGGGGAGGTAAACTTTACGGCCTAGGCTGTAAAAAAAAGACGGTATGGTAGAGTCTCCAGAAAAGAGTCCCTTTACGGACGTCACCCAGCTAAACTTTTGGAGCGAGTATAACAAAAATACAATTTTTTTTACTATAGTTTTGATTTTTCCGTAAGAATTTTAAATATACTTTAATTTCAGCAACTCAACACTTGTTACATGACATTCCATTCTTAAGTAAAAATGCCAATGGTGAGTATGTTTTATTGAAAAAAGAGGATGATGATGTAATTCTGCCTTGCCGATTAACTTCTGCCGACTATTCAGTAAAACTTTACAATTCGATTGATAATACTGTAAGTCACGCTTTATATATTGATAATCACATGCATACATATGCAATGATGCTAATTCTCTTGCGTTTACAGCCCATTGATTCATTTGAGTACGATCCAAAAAAAGGAATAACTCTAAAAAAAATTAAAAAAGATAGTATTTTACAATACAACTGTCACGCAGAAAAAAAAGATGGAACAAAGTCAGAACCAAAGAAATTTAAAATCGAGATAATAGGTATTGAGCATTACATCTAATCTCAACACATCGCTCTAATTTCGATGTTTTAGGTGTGACTAATCATAAGTAACGCTTCATTTATAATTTCTCAGATTTTTCGGAAAATCCTGTAATCACCAGCAATGTACTTTCTTTTATGGAGATCGGTAGAAATTTCAGTATGGAGTGCACCAGTCTTGTTTCAAAATACGAATCCTACGTTCTTGATTGGACTGTCCCTCAAACTGATCGCATAATCAAGACTGTAAGACCGAACTCGAACGTGACTGTTGGAAATGAAAAATTAAGTTACCATCGAGTGAATCTTCAATTGACGATTATAAATGTTGTTAAAGAAGATTTTGGTAATTACGAGTGTCGGCTTTATAAATATGCGTCCGTAGAAACAGCCAAGATCAATCTAACACCCCATGGTGAGTTATTAGTCATTAGAGGTGAGTCGATACAATTAAAAAGTTGGCTAATTATTCTGTTGATTCTTCAGAACAAAAGCACGTAGAAATATCGTTGAAAGGTTCCAACAGTGTCGTAATCGAAAGCGGTGCTCCATACACGTGGATACTTGACATCAACGCATACCCTCTGCCTGAATTACACTGGTAGGGACATTTCTCTTTCATAAGTTGAATAATTATTTTTTATTGACCAATGTTGTAGAAATGAATCAGTGATAGACTAACATCAACATTTTTCAGGGTTCACCCTCAAGGAAATAGCATCCCTCTACAAGCCAAATTTAGAAGTTTCCAAGTAAATGATGAAAAATTTTCGTTAGATTTTACGAAGACCCAATTCACTATCGATGATTTAGGGACACATACTATCGTTGCTAAAAGTTCAGACATACAAAAGACGGTTACTTTCAAAGTTTTGGCCCACAGTATGTTATTAATATCTAAATAAATAGTTGTAGTAGCAAAATTATTGACGTAAATGTTTTCATTAGCATCACCGAAAGTCATGGAAGTCAAGCAGAATGAAGCGTGCTTAGCAAAAGAAGCAACGATCTTTGAGTGCCAGGCCAAAGGTTATCCTGTGTCAGAAATAACCTGGAATTGTGTGGATGATAAAGGTGTTATAGAAAACGATGCTGAATTCATGGTAATGAATACTGTTCAGAGATAAATATTAACACAATTACGATTAGAAGTATGATTAGTGGCTCAATCGTGATATAAAACGACGTATTTCAAGATAACAATTCGAACTATAATCACTTTGCTCAAATAATTTTTTAATCGGAATCATTGTGTTTATTTTAGGTTCTTAAAACAGACCCCAAAGAATTTGAAGTATCATCCGTTGTAGAGGTGAAAAAATGCCCGCAAAGATCCGTAGTTTGTAAAGCGCACAATAAAAACGGAGATAATTCTATGACAAAACAGATCAGTAATCAAGGTATACATTGACTTTTTGTTGGTTTTTAATTAATCATTCGTGAATAGCCGTTTAATTTAATTTACTGTAAGCGCCTGCTCAAGGAACTGATCAGTCTGGCAGTGATGGCTGTCCGTTAGTTGAGAAACCCAAGAAAAATGAAAATGTTAACCCTCCGGGTGGTGACTTGTCACAAAAAAAGACCGAAGGTATGGATTGAAATTATCTAATAAATGAATCTAATGATGAAATATTACTAATTTGTTATAATTTTTCTTCAGTTTTACCTAAGATCGTAGAAATAGAACCAATTAAGAAGACGTATAAGTTATTCGAAACAGTAAAGTTATCATGCCAAGCATCAGGAGAACCTAGGCCGACTATAACATGGGAATATTGGAATCACCACAATGAGCTCGTACAAAATGTAAAGAATACCTCTGAGGTAATTAGTGCATTTATAAAAATTTAGTCATCAAATTCATTCTTTTATTCACGATGTAATCATTTTGTTTCTATTGCACGCCTCATAAGCGAAGCGGATGAGGTAGTGCTCTGCTCTCGCCTTACGAAAATCAAGTGATTTTTTTTAACTAAAATTGTTTCTATTTATTTTCTATTGCACTTGTAGAATAATATTTACATATTTACAATATTTGACGTCCGTGTTTCTGATGTATATACGGGAACTGACGTGGTCACGATAACTGCCGAAAAACTTAACTGATCAAGTCCATTTTTTTATACGCTTCAGTATTATCCAAAACTAAGTCCTTTCGAAGATAACGGTCTAATTCAATGTAATTTAAATATAATTAGCAATAAACTAAAATCTACTTATCATTTGTGTATTTATATCTATGTAAATAAGGTTCGTTTACAACACATGCGCAGTACCTTTCTTTTCTGGGTGGACAATGGCGCGAAAGATTTAAAAGTATTTGTATTTTATTTTAATCATTTTTATTATGAAAAATAGATTATGAGGCGTGCAATTTTGGATTTCACAAACTTTTTTGCATTTTTTCGAACTGTATACTCCTTAATTGAAAAAAATGTTCTACCATATAAAACTTATTGAGAGCCTATGAATTAGGTTGTCAGTATGGCAAATTAACCGAAATAATTTTGTATGATCAAGGACCCTAAAGCAACTTCTGATGAAACTTTAGTGACATCGGTTGCAACAATCCAAATCGTGACGCCTGGTCACGTAAAATGTAAAGCAGAGAACAAGCTTGGAAAGGATAGTAAAGTAGAAAAAATCGATATTGAAAGTATATAATCAAACTTAATGTTGAGATGAATCGATTGTAATGAATTGTTTAGATTGAGCTAATTTTTTCTTTTTTTTTGTCAAGCTTCTCAGATTGAAGGTCAACATTCTAGCGGTCAACCTCCAGCGGCTACTATCCCAGTAACAGGTGGAAAAGGCCCTACCAATTCAGTTGTGGAAGCAACAACAAAAAAGGCAGAAGGTATGTACAGAAATGAATCACAAATGATTGTACTTCCATCCGATATCAATAATTCGTTATAATTTTTCATTAGTGTCACCTAAGTTCATAAAAATAGAACCAAATAAGAATAAATCGATTGTACTGAATTGGTTAGATTGAGCTAATTTTTTCTTTTTTTTGTCAAGCTTCTCAGATTGAAGGTCAACATTCTAGCGGTCAACCTCCAGCGGCTACTATCCCAGTAACAGGTGGAAAAGGCCCTACCAATTCAGTTGTGGAAGCAACAACAAAAAAGGCAGAAGGTATGTACAGAAATGAATCACAAATGATTGTACTTCCATCCGATATCAATAATTCGTTATAATTTTTCATTAGTGTCACCTAAGTTCATAAAAATAGAACCAAATAAGAATAAATCGATTGTACTGAATTGGTTAGATTGAGCTAATTTTTTCTTTTTTTTGTCAAGCTTCTCAGATTGAAGGTCAACATTCTAGCGGTCAACCTCCAGCGGCTACTATCCCAGTAACAGGTGGAAAAGGCCCTACCAATTCAGTTGTGGAAGCAACAACAAAAAAGGCAGAAGGTATGTACAGAAATGAATCACAAATGATTGTACTTCCATCCGATATCAATAATTCGTTATAATTTTTCATTAGTGTCACCTAAGTTCATAAAAATAGAACCAAATAAGAATAAATCGATTGTACTGAATTGGTTAGATTGAGCTAATTTTTTCTTTTTTTTGTCAAGCTTCTCAGATTGAAGGTCAACATTCTAGCGGTCAACCTCCAGCGGCTACTATCCCAGTAACAGGTGGAAAAGGCCCTACCAATTCAGTTGTGGAAGCAACAACAAAAAAGGCAGAAGGTATGTACAGAAATGAATCACAAATGATTGTACTTCCATCCGATATCAATAATTCGTTATAATTTTTCATTAGTGTCACCTAAGTTCATAAAAATAGAACCAAATAAGAATAAATCGATTGTACTGAATTGGTTAGATTGAGCTAATTTTTTCTTTTTTTTGTCAAGCTTCTCAGATTGAAGGTCAACATTCTAGCGGTCAACCTCCAGCGGCTACTATCCCAGTAACAGGTGGAAAAGGCCCTACCAATTCAGTTGTGGAAGCAACAACAAAAAAGGCAGAAGGTATGTACAGAAATGAATCACAAATGATTGTACTTCCATCCGATATCAATAATTCGTTATAATTTTTCATTAGTGTCACCTAAGTTCATAAAAATAGAACCAAATAAGAATAAATCGATTGTACTGAATTGGTTAGATTGAGCTAATTTTTTCTTTTTTTTGTCAAGCTTCTCAGATTGAAGGTCAACATTCTAGCGGTCAACCTCCAGCGGCTACTATCCCAGTAACAGGTGGAAAAGGCCCTACCAATTCAGTTGTGGAAGCAACAACAAAAAAGGCAGAAGGTATGTACAGAAATGAATCACAAATGATTGTACTTCCATCCGATATCAATAATTCGTTATAATTTTTCATTAGTGTCACCTAAGTTCATAAAAATAGAACCAAATAAGAATAAATCGATTGTACTGAATTGGTTAGATTGAGCTAATTTTTTCTTTTTTTTGTCAAGCTTCTCAGATTGAAGGTCAACATTCTAGCGGTCAACCTCCAGCGGCTACTATCCCAGTAACAGGTGGAAAAGGCCCTACCAATTCAGTTGTGGAAGCAACAACAAAAAAGGCAGAAGGTATGTACAGAAATGAATCACAAATGATTGTACTTCCATCCGATATCAATAATTCGTTATAATTTTTCATTAGTGTCACCTAAGTTCATAAAAATAGAACCAAATAAGAATAAATCGATTGTACTGAATTGGTTAGATTGAGCTAATTTTTTCTTTTTTTTGTCAAGCTTCTCAGATTGAAGGTCAACATTCTAGCGGTCAACCTCCAGCGGCTACTATCCCAGTAACAGGTGGAAAAGGCCCTACCAATTCAGTTGTGGAAGCAACAACAAAAAAGGCAGAAGGTATGTACAGAAATGAATCACAAATGATTGTACTTCCATCCGATATCAATAATTCGTTATAATTTTTCATTAGTGTCACCTAAGTTCATAAAAATAGAACCAAATAAGAATAAATCGATTGTACTGAATTGGTTAGATTGAGCTAATTTTTTCTTTTTTTTGTCAAGCTTCTCAGATTGAAGGTCAACATTCTAGCGGTCAACCTCCAGCGGCTACTATCCCAGTAACAGGTGGAAAAGGCCCTACCAATTCAGTTGTGGAAGCAACAACAAAAAAGGCAGAAGGTATGTACAGAAATGAATCACAAATGATTGTACTTCCATCCGATATCAATAATTCGTTATAATTTTTCATTAGTGTCACCTAAGTTCATAAAAATAGAACCAAATAAGAATAAATCGATTGTACTGAATTGGTTAGATTGAGCTAATTTTTTCTTTTTTTTGTCAAGCTTCTCAGATTGAAGGTCAACATTCTAGCGGTCAACCTCCAGCGGCTACTATCCCAGTAACAGGTGGAAAAGGCCCTACCAATTCAGTTGTGGAAGCAACAACAAAAAAGGCAGAAGGTATGTACAGAAATGAATCACAAATGATTGTACTTCCATCCGATATCAATAATTCGTTATAATTTTTCATTAGTGTCACCTAAGTTCATAAAAATAGAACCAAATAAGAATAAATCGATTGTACTGAATTGGTTAGATTGAGCTAATTTTTTCTTTTTTTTGTCAAGCTTCTCAGATTGAAGGTCAACATTCTAGCGGTCAACCTCCAGCGGCTACTATCCCAGTAACAGGTGGAAAAGGCCCTACCAATTCAGTTGTGGAAGCAACAACAAAAAAGGCAGAAGGTATGTACAGAAATGAATCACAAATGATTGTACTTCCATCCGATATCAATAATTCGTTATAATTTTTCATTAGTGTCACCTAAGTTCATAAAAATAGAACCAAATAAGAATAAATCGATTGTACTGAATTGGTTAGATTGAGCTAATTTTTTCTTTTTTTTGTCAAGCTTCTCAGATTGAAGGTCAACATTCTAGCGGTCAACCTCCAGCGGCTACTATCCCAGTAACAGGTGGAAAAGGCCCTACCAATTCAGTTGTGGAAGCAACAACAAAAAAGGCAGAAGGTATGTACAGAAATGAATCACAAATGATTGTACTTCCATCCGATATCAATAATTCGTTATAATTTTTCATTAGTGTCACCTAAGTTCATAAAAATAGAACCAAATAAGAATAAATCGATTGTACTGAATTGGTTAGATTGAGCTAATTTTTTCTTTTTTTTGTCAAGCTTCTCAGATTGAAGGTCAACATTCTAGCGGTCAACCTCCAGCGGCTACTATCCCAGTAACAGGTGGAAAAGGCCCTACCAATTCAGTTGTGGAAGCAACAACAAAAAAGGCAGAAGGTATGTACAGAAATGAATCACAAATGATTGTACTTCCATCCGATATCAATAATTCGTTATAATTTTTCATTAGTGTCACCTAAGTTCATAAAAATAGAACCAAATAAGAATAAATCGATTGTACTGAATTGGTTAGATTGAGCTAATTTTTTCTTTTTTTTGTCAAGCTTCTCAGATTGAAGGTCAACATTCTAGCGGTCAACCTCCAGCGGCTACTATCCCAGTAACAGGTGGAAAAGGCCCTACCAATTCAGTTGTGGAAGCAACAACAAAAAAGGCAGAAGGTATGTACAGAAATGAATCACAAATGATTGTACTTCCATCCGATATCAATAATTCGTTATAATTTTTCATTAGTGTCACCTAAGTTCATAAAAATAGAACCAAATAAGAATAAATCGATTGTACTGAATTGGTTAGATTGAGCTAATTTTTTCTTTTTTTTGTCAAGCTTCTCAGATTGAAGGTCAACATTCTAGCGGTCAACCTCCAGCGGCTACTATCCCAGTAACAGGTGGAAAAGGCCCTACCAATTCAGTTGTGGAAGCAACAACAAAAAAGGCAGAAGGTATGTACAGAAATGAATCACAAATGATTGTACTTCCATCCGATATCAATAATTCGTTATAATTTTTCATTAGTGTCACCTAAGTTCATAAAAATAGAACCAAATAAGAATAAATCGATTGTACTGAATTGGTTAGATTGAGCTAATTTTTTCTTTTTTTTGTCAAGCTTCTCAGATTGAAGGTCAACATTCTAGCGGTCAACCTCCAGCGGCTACTATCCCAGTAACAGGTGGAAAAGGCCCTACCAATTCAGTTGTGGAAGCAACAACAAAAAAGGCAGAAGGTATGTACAGAAATGAATCACAAATGATTGTACTTCCATCCGATATCAATAATTCGTTATAATTTTTCATTAGTGTCACCTAAGTTCATAAAAATAGAACCAAATAAGAATAAATCGATTGTACTGAATTGGTTAGATTGAGCTAATTTTTTCTTTTTTTTGTCAAGCTTCTCAGATTGAAGGTCAACATTCTAGCGGTCAACCTCCAGCGGCTACTATCCCAGTAACAGGTGGAAAAGGCCCTACCAATTCAGTTGTGGAAGCAACAACAAAAAAGGCAGAAGGTATGTACAGAAATGAATCACAAATGATTGTACTTCCATCCGATATCAATAATTCGTTATAATTTTTCATTAGTGTCACCTAAGTTCATAAAAATAGAACCAAATAAGAATAAATCGATTGTACTGAATTGGTTAGATTGAGCTAATTTTTTCTTTTTTTTGTCAAGCTTCTCAGATTGAAGGTCAACATTCTAGCGGTCAACCTCCAGCGGCTACTATCCCAGTAACAGGTGGAAAAGGCCCTACCAATTCAGTTGTGGAAGCAACAACAAAAAAGGCAGAAGGTATGTACAGAAATGAATCACAAATGATTGTACTTCCATCCGATATCAATAATTCGTTATAATTTTTCATTAGTGTCACCTAAGTTCATAAAAATAGAACCAAATAAGAATAAATCGATTGTACTGAATTGGTTAGATTGAGCTAATTTTTTCTTTTTTTTGTCAAGCTTCTCAGATTGAAGGTCAACATTCTAGCGGTCAACCTCCAGCGGCTACTATCCCAGTAACAGGTGGAAAAGGCCCTACCAATTCAGTTGTGGAAGCAACAACAAAAAAGGCAGAAGGTATGTACAGAAATGAATCACAAATGATTGTACTTCCATCCGATATCAATAATTCGTTATAATTTTTCATTAGTGTCACCTAAGTTCATGTGTGTGTAAACCTCTTATAACTTTTGAACGGTTGATCTGATTTCATCGCGGTTGTTGCCATTCGAAAGGGCTTCACTAAACTTAGATTTCCTGAAAATTTGAACCAATTCGGACCGATAGATTTTGAGAAATTGAGAGAAATCTCCAAAAAAATAGGAAAAAATAGGAAAAAAATTTTTTTCAAAAGTGGTTTTTTTGGAATAACTTTTAAACGGCTCTACCGATCGATTTCAAAAACTAATCAGCTCTCAATCTTAAAAAGCCACGTCGATTGCCGCCAATCCGGTCAAAATCGATTGATTCGTTCAAGAGATATCGTGAACGAAAAAAAACCGAAAAAAAACCAAAAAAGTGTTTTTTCGGAATTACTCCGAAATTTATAGTTTAACCAATTGAAACTTAAGAATTTTTTATGAGGCTTAAAAAACTGCATAGAATACCGCCAACCGCGTGAAAATCGGTTCATTCATTCAAAAGTTATTGCGATTTGAAAATAAAAAAAATAGTGTTTTATCAAACTTTTGAGCTCGAAGAGCTCGGAGAGCTCAAAATAATATACAAATTGTACTTATGAGCTTGAAGAGCTCTAAAACGTCATAAGTGCAATTTCAAGCGTTTAGGTATAGAATTGTCGGGAAGTTGCAGGGATGGCCTTCAGGGTCAACCGTATTCCTAATTTTTTTTTATGTTAAGTTCCTAAGGTTCAAGGTCAACTTCCAGCAGCTAATACCCCAGTGCCAGTCGGAAAAGCTCCTACCAATCCAGGTGTTGAAGCAACAACAAAAAAAGCCGAAAGTATGTATTGAAATTATTTCATTTTCAATCATAAATGATTGTCCAATAGGAAGTAATACATTATTTTGGTATATAAAGCTTCAGGTCCTGTATCCGAGAAGCCTGATAGTAAAAATAAACCAGCTAGTACTGAACAGGCGAAGCCTAAAGCTAAGCCAGAAGATGTTGATCCGTTCAGCTTAGGCACAGATGACCAAAAAATAAACGCAACTAAAGGAGATACCGTTACTATGCATTGCAACGCATCAACTTCCATATTCGGCGATGATATCAAATGGTACAACACCTCTAATGTCCTTGCAACTAGTGGTAAGTTCGCTTTTGTTGCTCAGCAACCAATTGAAGGATAACCCACTCACAAAATTATCAATTTTAGGGAAAGTTGAGATCAAAGAAACCAAAGAAAGTCCTTTGCATTCGTCGCATCTCACTATAAAAGACATCCAGTTATGGGACAAAGGTGACTACTCTTGCGAAGGAACAAAGAGGGACGGTTCTGCTGTTAGAAAAATTTATCACGTGCACGTCAATGGTAGGTATCGAACTTCTGCATACAGGAAGTTCGCCAACAATTTGCAAAATTTGATGTTAAGATTATCATAAATTATTTATTTTTTCAGCCTCTGCTGTGTTCTCTGCTTCAGTTATCTTGCAGTTATCGATAATATTGCTGGCATATTTTATGTAATTGCTGTCATTCCAAGCAGTGGCTGCTTACACTCGAAGTGTTAGTTATAATAAGATAAATTTGTTAGTTACAATAAGATATGAAATAAAAAAAACACTAAAGAAAAGATTATGATTTTCAATAGTTGAAAAAAATTCTATTGCAAGCTCAAAAATGAATAAAACAATTTTTTTACTGAATATTTTACTATTTATGTAATTTTTGGAATCTTACTATCCATCATTTTTTAGACTTTAAGACAGTCATTCATTTAATTAATATAATTTCAAGCCTTGATTGCATATACAAGAAGTAATCTTGATAAATTTATACTGCAAAAATATGGCATAAATTCTAATTTTTGTAATTATTAATCAAAAAAGTTTGAAAAATTCAAAAGTACGCGCCTCATAATCTCATTTTCCATAGTAAAATTGATTAAAATAAAATACAAATACTTTTAAATCTTTCGCGCGATAGTCCATCCAGAAAAAAAAGGTACTGCGCATGTGCTGCAAACGAACCTTATTTACATAATATAAATAGAGACAATTTTAGTTCAAAAAATCATTTGATTTTTGTAAGGCGAGAGTAGAGCACTTTACTCCGCTTCACTTATGAGGCGTGCAAAATCAAAAAGTTTGGAAAATCCAAAAGTGCACGCCTCATAATCTCATTTTTTAAAATAAAATTGATTAAAATAAAATATAAAAAGCAAAATAATAAAAAACAGAAAACACTGCTATGGTTTAGTGGCGCCATAACTGCAAGGTGAGGAAAAAAAATACTATAATAAAATGTATAGATAGAAATACAAAAAAATCCACAGTCATATATTAGTTTTTTATAAATAATAGTTTAACGACAGTGAATTGAACGCTCATATTAACTAAGAAATTCTGTCGTGTGTTACTTTAGATAATTAAAAAAAAATTATTCCGGTACGATCATTTTTTCGACCAATTTCCCTGCCACATACACCCATTCATACACGGACGTCCAAAAAAGATTATGTTTAATGTTATTATTTATTATGTTAAACAAAAAAATTGTTATTGAAATATATTTTATGTGCCTGAAAAATTATTTGACTTGACATAAGTGTACTCATTTTAACCTGTAAGTGCGATATAAATAACAAAAAATCAATTTTAGTTTCGAGAAAACTGCTTTTTTCGAAATGTCGAGAGTAGAGCACAACCTCAACGCTTCGCTTATGAGGCGTGCAACAGTTCAAGTACTCTGATAACTTCGATTCTATAAAAATGATAAAAATAAGTATGAAAGCGATTGATTAACTTATTACGGTGACATTGTGTGTAGCAGTTTCATATCAATGTGTGTCACTGTTGGAAATAGTTTTAATGTTTTAAGGAAGTCTATAAATTGATTAGTAGATAAAATTTAATGTATAAGTTGAAATTAAACTGCATTGTTATTAACGCTTCTATGAAACGACAAAATATTATAAGATCAACAATGTTTAACAAATATTTCATTTCTTTGCGGATCAATAGTTGTCGTAAGTAACTTATTGTTTGAATCAACTCTCGAATTTCATCATCTGATGCCTTAGTGTGGATAAAAATTCCGATTTTTCTTTCAGTCTGTTTATCAGAGCTGACTATTGCACCCAGTGGCGACATTGAGGTAAATGAGGGCGAGCCATTAGAAATAACCTGCACAGCTTCGGAAGAAGTCGATTTCTTCTATCCGAAAAATATTCCAGACTTGGTAAGTTGGATACTAATTTATTCAAAAGACCACACTGTCTTTTTGCTCTCCTGAGCCACAATTAGATACAACTGTTCTCAATGACAGCTGATATACCTATAAAGTCTATTTTTTTCATAGGCTGCCACATCATCAGTATCAATTGTTAATGAAACAGAAAATGGAACGTCAAAGTTCATATTCAAAAGGTCTAAAACTGTTTTTGGAGACAGTGGATGGTATGGGTGTGTCGAGGCGAGTAAAAACCAACCGAAGCTTGATCTTGGTACCATTTACATAACGCCAGACAATTTTGAGAAATCAGATGTAAAATGGGTCTACGTCTTCGTAAAATGTAATTAAATTAAAATTTTGCATGCCTTAAGCGCGCATGCTCTACTCTCGCCTAAAAATCGTGATTTTGATTAAAACGTGATTTTCATAATTTAAACGATAAAAGTTATTTATAAAAAGCATATTGAGATAAATAATAACAATTACAGAACACGTTAAAAAGATTTTCTTGACGATTAAATAAGATTTTCAGGAAAAACTCGTTTTTCTGACGAATTAAATGAATAAGTGCATGGTATTCACAGGAGCACTGGGTTTGATAACACCACAACTTTGTCAAAAATCATTTTCACGATTTAATTTTTTTTGTTTTATTCCTGAGGAAATTTGCCAAAACCCCTGTGAAAATTGCGTGTCAAAATAATTCCGTTTTAATACAATTAATTTTTTTCGACTGTCAGTTCGGTAACTTTTTTTGCGATTGCGGCAGCCATATAAATAACTATAAACAAGCAGAAACTACCCTGATAGCCAAACCGGTCGCAACTTTCCGTTGATTTGCTGCAGCAACTTGTCACCAAGTTGGCGGCAAGTCTTGGAAATGAACTCGGTTGTTCACCAAGTTGTCGGCAGAAATTGCTTTCGAAACTCTTTCGCACCAAGTTGACGATAAGTTTCTCGAGAAATTTGGCGACATATTGCGGCAGTAGATTGGTCTTGTTTTTCTCAGAAACTTCTAGCCAACTTGACGCCAACAGTTTCAAATTTGGAAGTTGACCGCAAGTTGTCAATAAGTTGGTGGCAACTATCTGACACCAACTTGGTTGGTCTGAAACTGTAGCTATCAGGGTATACATCCATGATGGTATAATTAGTAACTGTTTTATCATCTGTTAAGATTTTTTTAGCTTGACCAACAGAGGAGATAACACCACTCGCGGGAAAATTCAAACGAAAAAACGAATAAAAAACAGTATAGTCTTTATGAAAAAGTTAACAAATCGTAATGTAAACATTGAATCTAAATAATTTGTGTATGACATAAGCGCTTAAGGCATGCTCATTTGGATTTTCCAAATTTTTTTCGATATGATGGCAAATAATCCTTGAATTTTAGCAATTGAACACTTGTTAGTTGACATTCCGTTCCTGTATCAAAATACCGATGGTAAGTACTCCTTATTCGAAGAAGAAAGTGATGATGTTCTTCTGCCTTGCCGTCCGACTTCTGCACACTACAATGTTAAATTTTACTCTCTTAATAATAGTAAGGTAAGGCATGCTCCATATGTTGATCATCATATGCATAAATCAATATCCTTAATTTTCGTCAATATAGCCCATTGATTCAGAGTACGATCCAAAAAGAGGAATCATTATCAGAAATATTCAAAAAGACAGTCCTTTGAACTACTATTGTCTTGCTGTAGGGAACAACGGCGTGATGAAAGAGAAAAAAGAATTTGTTATTAAGATTACAGGTATTAGTTTTTTTGACTGTCTTTCAGCTGAATTTGAGTAGTGGTTTATTTTGTTCCTATTACAGGTGAAACTCCAGCCGATAAAGTACCGAAATTTTCCACCAAAGGGCTCACTCATATGGAAATTGGCAAGAAGTTCAGCGTGGAATGCTTAGTGAGATTCTGGAATCACAATAATTACTTTCTAGATTGGGTGACTCCCAGATCGGTAATGAACTTAACAAGAAAACCTTTTATTTTCTTAGTAAAGAATTTTTAAAGAGTTTCTAATTTTTAGACAAGCTGGACCAGTAAGAACTTGACTACTATCCAAAATTATAGTTTTGAAGACAGGATTTTAGACAATCGGCTAGTATCCCTGGAATTGACGATTGAAAATGTGGCCTCTGAAGATTTCGGCGAGTATCAGTGCAGGCTCTATGAATATGCTTCTGTAGTAACAGGAAAAATAAATTTGCAACCACATGGTATGTAACAACAAAAAACAATATTTTGCTAAGGTACCGGCGGGTAACTGGCCTAGCTAAGGAAGATTTTGAAAAAAATCAATAATATTGTATTTAGTTATCGAAATGTATCATTAATCTTTATTTTAATACATTAGCCATAAAATATAATGGAGTAATGGTAATTTTTACCATAACCAAACACAAAATTGAACTTTTTCAATAATCTTACGAATAGGCCTTACCCGTGGGTACCTTATTCAAAATAAATTTTTTAAAAGCTTCATATTTAGAAATCTAACTGAAACCATTTTCATCAAGAAATCAATTTATAACACTATTAATTTCATACCAGAACTAAAACACCTAGATATATCACTGCAAAATCCTAAAAATGAATATCCAATCAAAAGTGAGAAGTCATACACGTGGCAAGTGAATGTTGACGCGTATAAAAACTTGAAATCACTTGCTTCACAATGATTACAACTAAATTCTTCTAGGTTCGACCCAGTTGGAAAAGAAATAGCTACATCATGGCAATTTTACGACTATAACGTAAACAGCGAGTGTTTTTCGGTGTATCTCACAAAAAGCTTCTTCACTGCAGATGACTCGGGGATTTATACTGTCTTCGCCAACAATTCAGAAATGAAGACGATCTCTCTGAATGTTGTGGTTTACAGTATATTGATATTGAACCTGATAATTTTATCTGAAAAATAATAAATGTATTTCATCAGCGACACCGATCATCATCGAAGAAGAAGAAGAACAGAAGCAGACAACATATTCCACTAATGACGTTGCAACATTTCAGTGCCGAGCTATAGGTGACCCCGAACCAGATATTACACGGGAGTAATATGGATGAGTATCGAATCGTTGTAGAAAACGGATCCCATTTTTTTAAGGTAATTGTTTTCGACATTCACACTGAGTAAACAGTTAGATGGTTAGATTATTCTCAAAAATATCACACTTACTAAAAAAAGTTCATTATATCTGTTGAAGAATATTGAATCACGGTCCACACTTGATGAAGTAATATCAATTGCGAAGACAAGAATCGCGAGGTCTGGTTATGTATCATGCGAAGCGCGGAATAAGTATGACAAGGATAGTAAACTAGTCAAGATTGATATCAAATGTAGATTTTTTTGATTAATAGTTCAATAATAGATGATTTATAAAGTTAAACTAATGCTCTTGACTTAATTTATTAAGATCCAATTATCAGAGCCAATAATTCTGACAGACGACCTCCAACCAATGATGTACCGATGAACGCTTCAATCAACCTTAATATTGATGACATTGGAAAGCCAGAGACAAGTAGCGAAAGCATTTACTTATTTGTCATGTTAATCAAAATGCTTTGTTTCGATGTTTTTTCTATAAATTCACATACATGGAAGAATTTTAACTATTTATTTTGACCTAGTTTTTTGTAATCATCAGCAAAAAAAATTCGTATATAGCATCAATCAGAACCCAGTAAAAGTGCATACGAGCTTTCTTTTTCAGCCGCGGGGCTAACTGTAGTTTTGCCAATTAGTCGATTCCCAAGATTCGTCTGATGTCAACTAATGGATCAACTCAATTTTTTAAGTTCTAGCTTGCGAACTTCGGAATCCTGATGGTACTTGTTACTTCTGAAGTTGAGCCGAAGGAGACTATCAAGCCTGTGAATTTGGATGACAGTCAGCCAAAGACACGCGTCGAAGGTATGTAAGATTTATTACAGCTGATCTTCGATTGGAAAATTTCGAAACATCATGTTTATTGAAATTCAGGGCCTAGATTCAAGATTGCGAACGGTGACTATAATGCGACTAGTAATGAACTAATGAAGCCTACCAATGAGCCAGATGATGTTGATTCATTCAGTTTAGGCACAGTCAACCGAGAAATAATCATAAATGAAGGTATTACCATCACAATGCAGTGCAGTGCATCAATTGACAGGTTCCCTGATGATATCAAATGGTACAACACCTCTAATCTCCTTGCAACTGATGGTAAGCTCGCCTTTGTTACTGAACAGTCAACTGATGGATAACACAATGATAAATTTATCAATTTTTAGGAAGAGTTGTGATAAAAGAAACCAAAGAAACACCTTTACATTCGTCGCATCTCACTATAGGAGACATTCAGAAATGGGACAAAGGTGACTACACTTGCGAAAGAACGACGAAGAATGGTTCTTCTGTTAAAAATTATTATCAGGTGCATGTCAATGGTAGGTATCAAACTTTTGCATGCGTCACAAAATTCGCCCACAATCATCCAATCTTTTCTAATGTATTCATATTAAAATTAATCATTCGTTTCAGCCTCCGCTGTGTTTTCAGCTTTGTTAATCTTGCAGTTATCGATAATGCTACTATTACTTGCTTGATAAAGTCCTGATTGATCGATAATATGAAGATATGACACAAATTTTTATCTTAACATTTCAGATTAATATTTAGAATATTTGTTATAATAAATGGAATAATAGGTTAACGTTAAAAAGAAAAAAAAAAAATACGAAATACATGTTCGTCTGGAAAAAATCTATTTTTATTCTAACTTACAAGTTGATGACGACATAAATTATGTACCTACTTACAAATTTCAACTTAAATTTATATTTTCAATAGAAATTTCAACAATAAAAAATAAAAATGTTTTTATTAACCGATAAACCAAAAATAAAAATAAAGGTCAGCCAACTCCGTACGACACAAATTATTTATAGAATAAATTGAAGTTTTTTTGTGAGAACTATAAATGTAAAATATAAATAAATAAAATTCAAGCATCCAAGATATATCGATTTATGAATTCAAATGATATATATATATATAAATATAGATATATTAAGTACCTTTATAATTAATATTAATATTAATATTCTATTAAATATGAAATCACTATGCTAGCTGTAAGTCATCTTGCTATACATCAAAAATTGTTTTTTTATATACTAACTGTTGTATTATTAACCCTGTTAATGGCCCTTTGGCTGTTGGGTTTGTTTATTTCAATAAAATAAAATATGTAAAATAAGTAACACTGTTCATATAAATAAAAAAAGTTGGATACCCAAAAGGTGGATTTAATAAATATTCAATGTATGTATTGTAAATATATAAATTTTTTTTAAATAAAATGAAATTGTAAAAATAAACAATGAATTTCCATATCTATTTTGCTCCACTAATTGTATAGTGAAAAAATATCCCTTTTATTACAGAAACTTTAGAATTGCTACAATATTTTTTCAATATTATCTAACACAATAATAACTGAGTTGGAATAAACAATTTAAGATTAAGTACACACGTGAATAAAAATTATGAAAATTATATTTTTGAGCTCGAAGAGCTCAAAAACGTAATAAATGCAGTTTTGTGCGCTTAAGTATGAAATGAGCGGGAAGTTGCAGGGATGGCTTTTAGGGTCAACCGTTTTACTAATTTTTTTTTCTAATAAAATCAAAAATAATTTTGTCGGACAATTTTGTACTGATGTAAAAAGTCCTTAGAGAGAATTTATAAATCAGGTTCACTAGATTTTCAAATATATGCGATTTTTCGAACTTATTCAAAATCGAAAAACAGAAAACGATAAAATTCTTAAAATCGTAAACTACAATGCTATAGTTACATTTCTAACTAAATCTACTAATAAGAATCGTGATTGGTTGAGCAATATCTATTGGGATTACCCATGCTTCTTACTATTAACGATCTATTATACCAATTAACTAATACAACTAAATCCAATTAACTAATACAAACTAAAACTAAATGCAATAAAATTTTTCATCAGTATGAGTCGTTTCTAAGTCCAGATAGTCACTTCCAAATCAAATTCTGTTAAAAAATTGATACAATAGCCGAATAGTGCGTGTTATAACATAAGATATATAGTCTTGATGTAACATTAAAGTTAACGACGAATTCGCATTTCTGTTGAAGGATTGATAATTGAAGAACGAAAATGCTTAACAAGCATCTAATTCTTCTGCTAATAAATAGTTATCGTAAGTAAATTATTTATCTAATATTTTGAATGATTATCGTGTTTCATCAGCTGAAAACTACAATGTGAATAAAAATTTTTAATTTTCTTCCAGTCTGTTTATCAGAGCTGACTATCACACCAATTGGCCAAATTGTGATAAATGAGGGCGATCTATTAGCAATAACCTGCACAGCTTCGGAAGACGTCGATTTTTTTTATCCGCAATTTATTTCATTCTTGGTAAGTTGGATACTTTAATCTATTCAAAAGATCACATTAGAATACAGGTCAGGGTGATAAATTTCAGCATGTTCTGGTTCAAATTTGAATTCCATCAGCGATAGAATTTACCTCATCTGTTAATGAAGGCTTATTAAAGTAGACGATTGAATTCTTTTTAGGTGGACACGTCACCATCATTAATCACCAACGAACCTGCGAATGGAGGGTCAAAATTCATATTCAAAAGGCCAAAAGCAGTTTATGGAGACACTGGATATTACGGATGTGTTGAGGCTAGCAAAAATAAGCGAAAGCTGAATCTCCGAAACATTTACGTAACACCAGAAACTTACGATGAAATAGATATCAAGTGGACTTACGTCTATGTAAAATGTAATTAAAAGACGCATTTTTGGATTAGTATAAAACATCAAAATTGGACGGGTTCAATAAAATTATTGATACATTCGACTATTTTCAGCTGATAAACATCCAGTGACCATCAGTGGTTACGTCGAATTTGTCGACAGTACGATAGGTAACGATTTGATTATACCCTGCCTACCAACTTCTCCAGAATATAATGTCACTCTAACTTATTCGGTTTTCGTAAGTAATCATAAAACAATTAATTTTCTGAAAATCAAAGAACAAGTCGATTTAATAAATCTCCGAGGCTGGGTTAGTCATTAAAGATTCTACACCAGTCTAGATATAAAGATGGTCTATTTGTTTGAGATTATGAAGTCTTCAATAACTTGTCTTTATAACCATGATTACTATGTCCTAACCGTTTTTCCAGGACACTTCAACAATTTTACCTGTAAGTGAAAAATTCTCATATGATCCAAAAGTAGGTTTCACTATCCGCGATGTCAAAAAGCCTGAGAGAAGATGCTATTACTGTAAAGTCCCAGAACTTAACGAAGACTTTGGACTAGTAGAAGCAATCGTTTCACGTAATTTGGAAATTTTTCATTTATTTTTGCTTTCAATACTTGAACCGATTCACATCAAATTGTAACGTGGGGACATTTATGTTTTTTACAGATCCGTCTCAAAAATTGACACTAGGTATATACACCGACACTTTGCAGCAGCTTACCCTAGGTGAAAATTTTTCGATGAATTGTTCTATGCCAAGTTTTGGGATCTTTCCAGATGACCTCCTCTATTGGACAACTCCACGGAAGGTATTAGATTAATCCAATAATTATTCATTTTTCTTGTTAATAACTAATCAGCATATACTACATCCAGACTCAACCAATCGTGAAATTAATGACAGAGTTGAATTATGAAGGGAAATATATTTATATCAGTGAACTGACGATCGAAAATGTAACCGATGATGACGTTGGTGAATACAAGTGTAGTTTCTTCGGATCTGGTCCCATCCAAATCGTAAAAACGAATCTTCAATTGCACGGTAAGCTTGTCGATGCTTGGGAAAATTTCGTTTTTACTTATTAAATCGTTTGATTTTAGCGAAAAATTATTTAAACGTGTCTACGGAAGACATGGAGGCTCTCAACGGAATAATTATAGAGCATGGCCAACCGCTTAATCGTTGGATAAGCGTTTCTGCCTATCCACTTCCAACTTTTAAATGGTAAAGCATTATTTTATTAAGGCAGAAAAAAATCCCGTAATTAAATTCTTTAAGCCTAAAATATGTTTATACGTCCATTTGTTTCTTTTTTTATACAGGATTGACCCCAAAGGAAATGAAATTTTAAATAATTGGGCGCCTCAGTATTACGATGTAAACAGTGAAAAATTTTTTATTCAATTACAAACTCGTAATCTTACTTTGGAGGACGAAGGAAATTATACATTAATAGTAACTAATTCTGCAAGCAGTGATACTTTTACTTTCTTCATAGGTATTTCAGGTAAACCACTAAATTTTAATCTTTCTGAATAACTGTTACTGTAAAGTCGGACAAAAATGAATCACATTTAAAAAATTTATGATTTTCAGTCAAACCACAGATATTTGAGACGGATACTATATCAATTGTCGAGGTCTTACAAGGTGATGAAATAAAAGCCGAATGTGAAGTTGAAGGAAAATCACTTCCAAGTATATCATGGGAGTATACGAATCATTTCACTAATTTGACCGAAAGTTCGCCAACGAATTCTTTACCCAAGGTTTGTTAGTTTGAAAAAGCGAAAAAAAATTATAGTTTAATTTTTATTGAAAAAAAAATTTAATAGATAAATTCAATCAATACTGGAGTTAACAGAACAATATCGACACTTGAGCTTAAAGCTCAAGGAACGGGAAAACTTATCTGTAAAGCGTGTAATATTGCTGGCTGCGTATCTTCTATTGTCAAAATTATCAACATACCAGGTAATCATTGACGGTAGATTCAAAAAATAATGGTGCAATGCAAAGTAAAACCGTATATTCTTCTTTAGTGTCTATGGAATTGAAGTCCAAAGCACCAACGACCTTCAGAACTATTTCCTTAGCTCTAGAAGACCCACTTGCTATAGACTGTAAGAGTTCTAAAAAGATAACATTTTTCTACCCCAAGTTTGATGGAAAGGTAAATATCTCCAAAATTAAATCTGGTGCAAGACTCGATAATACTTTTTGGTACTAAATATCATAAACTTGAACATCATATAGATGGCGACGTCGCAAGAAAATATAAGGACCACGGTAACAGACAGTGGGCACACTGGAAGATTTGAACGTCGGCAGACAACCAACGGAGACAGTGGATGGTACGGATGTGCAAATCTGCCCGAGAAATACTTAATGCCCGTTCAGAGTAACTTGACTTTTACGCCGGATATCTACGCCGATTCAGACGTCCAGTGGATCTACGTCTTTGTCAAGTGTAATGCCACATAAACTCTTCAGAATTTATTAAAAAGCATGTTTTTGCTATAAATTAAGCTTCAATATCTATTTCAGCGACCTCCCACTTGTTCGTTGACTCTCCGTACTTTTACCAAGAATACGAAGGTACATATTACGTCGACGGAGAAGTGGGTAAGGATGTTGTTCTGCCTTGCCGAACATCTTCATCAGACTATCAAGTAAAACTGTATTCCGCTGGCAAAGTAAGTTGAATGTCACACACGTCATATGTTTCTGATCCTACAGATTAAAAACAAAAACAGTCATTTCACATTTTCAAACATCGTTCGCTTTCAGGTGATCGACGCAGAATTCGATCCAAAAAAAGGGATGACGATAAAAAGTCTGAAAGCTGACAGTTCCTTAGACTACTCTTGTATCATTATGCTAAATGACGGGTTGATAAAATCAATGGACTTTCAAATCGTGATTCTTGGTAACAATTTTGGCACCAATTACATTACTTTTTTTTATGGCATTTTCTTTATTGTTATCACCTAATTTTCTTTTTTTTTTTTTTAAGATCAAGCAAACTCTTTCAAAAATCCAATAATTACCACAAAATCCCCTTCTCACATGGAAATCGGTAAAACTTTCAAAATGGATTGCTCGGTTTCTCTCGGTTATTATAACAACTTATTCCTAGCTTGGCTTACTCCTCAAACGGTAAAATCACTGACAAAAGTCACAAATAATGACATCCAAACAAATTCGATAAAAAAAGATTTAATCATTTTGTATTTGATGATTTATCTTTCCAGACTAATCACATGTCCCGAAACTTCAATGTGATTCCCAGTTATAGTCAAGATGTGGATTCAGGAATTCGATATGCGTCCCATCAATTGACAATCGAAAATGTGACTGCTGAAGATTTTGGTGACTACGAATGCCGCTATTTTAAATATGCGTCTATTGAAACAGCTAAAGTCACTTTGACACCTCATGGTAAGTCATTAAAGATAGGTTTCAGTAAGATAGCTTATTATTAATAAGCTATTAATAATATTAACTCTGAACCAGAACGAAAGCATCTGGAAATATCAATGTCGGTTCCCAATGGTAAATTCTCTGTAGGAGGGAAAGAAGAATCCAATATACAAGTTCATGTTGATGCATATCCCATTCCTGAACTTCACTGGTAACTAATCCAATCTAATCGATATGAAAACGAAGGATTTCTTTAATTGTAACGATAAATCTTCATAGGTACAATCCAGAAGGAAAAGAATTACCAATTCTGTCCAAGTTCAAAAATTTTGAGGTCAATGGCGAAAAGTTTACTGTGGATCTAACAGCGCACAAATTCACATTGGATGACATGGGCATATTGACTTTTACGGCTAATAACTCAGCAGGAACCAAAAACATTACCTTTGATGTTGTTGTCTACTGTAAGTGTCAACATTAAACTTCACACTTGGTTAGTGCATTCACTGATCTTAATGTTTTCTTTAGCACGACCAAAAATTGAGGGACTGAAAAAACAATCGAGTTACTCGTTAAATGAAGAAGCAAAGTTCCACTGTCAAGCTAGAGGGAATCCTGTTCCGAATATCACATGGAAGTATTGGGATGAACGCCTAAACTTGGTACCAATTGAATTTAATCAGGTAATTGGAGCAATAAACATACTTGAACAATTATAAGAAAAGAATTTACGGAAAACGCATTAAAATCATTTCGCTTGCTAATAGATTACTGAGACAGGACCCAAGATCGGTGAAGTGTCTTCTACTGTAAATGTGAAAATCAATAAGGCTGGTTCTATTCGTTGCACAGCAGATAATATTCATGGAAAAGATATTCTCAGAGAAAAGATTGTTATCAAAAGTATGTTTTCTATCCTTGTAAAAAAAGATAAAATATTATTAAACACTACTTTGTTTCTGTTTCAGAGCCTACTACTGACTTCAAAAATTTTGATTTCGATGAGACACTTGAAAAAAAACCAGGATTCTTACAGATAGACACTGAAGGTATGTATTCAATTGATTTCGATAGGCCAATCACCGGTAATTGCAAAATAGAAAGTAATCCAATATTTTGTTCCATCAAGATTCAGATTCCGGATCGAAGAATCCTGATGTCAAAGATATTGCATCCGGTATTGAATCGATGAATCCTATCAAGCCAAATAACATTGATCTGTACATGTTAGGCACAGTGAACCAAGAAATAATTACAACTAAAGGTAGTACTGTCGCGATGCATTGCAGTGCATCAATTGAAAAGTTCCCTAATGGTATCAAATGGTTCAACAATACCAATCTGTTGGCAACTGATGGTAAGTTCGCTTTGGATTCTCAAACACCAATTAATGAATAACCTTGCCATTAAATTCTCAGTTTTAGGGAGAATTACGATAAGTGATACCAAAGCATCGCAATCGCATTCATCACAACTAACCATAGCAGACGTCGCGAAATGGGACGAAGGTGACTACAGTTGTGAAGGAAGGATGGATGATGGTTTTACTGTTGGAAATTTTTATCGCTTACAGGTTAATGGTAAGTATCAAACTTCTGCTTACATCAGAAAGTGTGTTGATGTTAAAATTATCTTAAATTATTTATTTGTTTCAGCCTCTGCTGTGTTCTCAGCGTCGGTAATTTTGCAGTTGTCGATAATATTGCTAGCATATATCATGTAATCAATGTTATTCTAAGCAATGCTTGTGTACAATTGAATGACTCGTGATGTATCTATACGGCGTCGATTTGATAGTATATTTTAAGTTACATTCGTAATTTGTACTGAGACTCTCTATTACCATGACGTCGTGATACTTTTAACAACATGCTGTTTTGTAAACGTAAATAAATGAATTTAAACATTAAATAGATTTGATATAAAAGTTGGTTTTATTCCGTATTTTCCTGATTTTCGGCAACAATATTTAACGGGAAGTTGAAAATTGAAAAACCAATTTTACTTGGAAAATTACTATACTGTAGATTCGGAATTTTTTTTTAATTTTTTGAGAAATAACTAAAACACATTAACGAAATCTAGCCAAAAAAAGAAATTTCAGAGGTCTTAACATCTCAAAATAATTTCACCGATATTTTTCAAGGTTAATTTAAAAAAAAATGTCTCTAAGGTTCAATTTGTCAAGATATGTCTGTTCGAAAATAGATGCGATTTTTTGAAGTTATATTTCTTTTGGCGCGTTTGGATGAGAGTGAAATTTGTGAGCTGCGCGCGCATGATGTCCCAAAAAAGCGACATGATGAAGTTGGCCACAAATATAATTAAAAATATAGAATTCTTTTACTGACTAAGTTAACTCATATACAAGCTAGTCGCAAAGTATCCAACGAAACGTTGTTATTTTTAAATTCGATAGAAATGCCATTTAATATGAAATATATTATTCATATTAATAATCAATTCAAACATTAGTATATATGAAGTGATTTGACGGTTTATATCAGGTGTGATTGTGAACGTTTTTGACGATTGATTTATCGACTGTAGATCCGAGAAATAACTTTTTTTGTGGGTGAATTTACGGTGATTTGACCGACATTTCACCATCAATTCACCCGCATATAACTGACAAACAACTAGCTCATTGCGGTCGATTCACCGTGTCATCGTGGGAATCCGATGAAAGAAAATAGGTGCATTCACCCAGAATAATCGATATTAAGCTCGTAAATTGTTCGCGTATACGATAATAATTAAAAAAAAAAAAATTTATTATAAAATAACCTTCGCCCAGACCGGGGATCGAACTCGGTTCACCAGTTTGAAAGTCGAGGGATTTTCCTGTTAT